TTCTTTTAAGATTTATTTATTTATTTTGGGGGGCGGGGAGCAGAAGGAGACAGAAAAAGAGTCTTAGACAGACTCTGTACTGAGCACAGAGCCAAATGCAGGGCTTGATCGCACAACCCTGAGATCACGACCTGAGTTGAAACCAAGAGTCAGATGCTCAACTGACTGCACCACCCAAGTGCCCCAAGATTTTCTTACCTTTTAACTTCAACAGTATAACAGGGACATTTTGCTCAGGACTTTTTGCAACTTCGGCAGCTAGAGATAAGATCCTTGGATCTGTACCTGTTGGCTTCATTTCTTATATCACCTATATTTTAACAGAATCAGAAAGATAAAGGTCAAACAGCCCTAAAATATTTGCTCCCTAATGTTTGAAAAACAGTTTTAATATAAATAAAACTTTAGCTTTGCTTGCTTTGAGAAGTGAAGGGTAGATTTTTCAATTTCTTCCTTATAGTAGACTCTGGTTTTTCTAATTAGAATACCTCTAAAAGAGCTAGAGACTCCTATAACTTACTGTGACAGCTACAGCACATATTATTTATCGTGCACTAAGAGTCAGGAATAGTGCTAGGTGCTCCACATTCACTCTTCCTAATCTGCACAACAGTCCTGGGATAGAAATTACTTTTTTTTTTTTTAATCATAAAAGAGACACTAAGTGCAGAAAAGAGTTAACATTAGGCCTGAGACAAGATTGGCCCCTGGCTGGTGCCTAGGAACTTGGATTTCAGAAGGGTTTCCACCATTCCCTAATAAGAGTGGCTCACTGTGACTAAAGTGTTTGTGAAAACAATGTGGCTTATGCAGAATGTCTGCTTTCCTTCCAGAAGTTTGAAATTCTGGTACTTGACAGTAGAGGATATCTACATGACCTACATGACCATCTTTCAATAAAGACCTTTGTCACTGAGTCTCTAGTGAGCTTCTCTGGTAGACAGCACTTCAAAATGTCAGAACTCATTATAGGAAGAATTAAGTGTGTTCTACGTGAATCTACTGGGAGAAGATTCTTGGAAGTTTACACCTGGTTTCCTTGGGATTTTGCCCCATTTGCCTTTTCTCTTTGTTGATTTTGCTTGGTATCCTTTCACTGCAATAAATCACAGTCACGAATATGACTCTATCCTAAGAACTGTGAGCCTTCTAAGTGAATCACTGAACCTGGGGTTGGTCTTGGGGATCCCCAACACTTCAGAAATGAAATGTAATTATAACAAAAGCTTGTTTATAAATAGCATAGTAAATAAAATCGATTATCTTAAAATTAAATAAAAAATGCATCCCAAATTCAATTTGTTAAAACTTTTCTTTATGAAGAAATTTTAAGGCATTCAAAGCTCAAAGATATCATTATTTAATAAAAAGTACAATCTTTACTTATAATAAATACTTAGGTATTTATTATGAACTAAGCACAGTGCTAAATGCTTTTATATACATCATCTTATTTAATCCTTACAATAGGAGTATGAGGTAGAGCCTGTAATCATCTCACTTTACAGATAAGAAAAATAAAGCTTGAAGAAGAAACTTATCATAGTTCCACCAGCATATGGTGGAATCAGTATTCAAATCCAGATCAGTCTGACTCCAAAGTCTATGGTTTTAACTACAATGTTAATTATATTCCCTCCCATGTAAAATAGTAAAAAACACAAAATGTATTCCCAAATGACATACTTCTAACTCACTTATTTTTAGCTATTATTCTTCACCACTGGCACCACTGTCCTTTATACTGAAGACCTGGACATAATACAAGCATCGAAATGTCATCCCTTTAGGTAAAATATAAATCATTAAAATACAAGGTTTCTGAAAATATTTCAAAGAAAGCCCACCACAACTCCTGGTGTCACTCCTAGCACATAACAGACATACAACTTTCCAAGAGAGTGGATAGTTATCTCACTCTTTCCAATGGCTGCATTATGCTATGCTTCTTTTGTAAGAATGCATCAATATATATCTAAACCAAATGGGTGTTCAAAATGGGTGTTCCAATTTGTATTTCCACTAACAACATATGAGGGTGTTCATTTTACTATGCCTTCACTAATACATTCTGTTATCTTTTATATTTCTGCTAGATGAAAAATGGTATCATCTTGTTTTAATTTGTATTGCTTTGATTATTAGACAAATTAGGCACATTTCATGTTCACTGGCCATTTCTTCTTTCATATATTTTCTATTCATATCCTTCAACAATTTTTATATTGGTTTATTCTTGTGTAGAAGCTTTCAGCTTTTCTTTTTTTTTTGTAAAGATTTTATCCATTTATTTGATAGAGACACAGTGAGAGAGAGAACACAAGCAGGGGGAGTGGGAGAGGGAGAAGCAGGCCTCCCGCTGAGCAGGGAGCCTGACGCGGGGCTCGATCCCAGGACCCCGGGATCATGACCCGAGCCGAAGGCAGACGCTTAACGACTGAGCCACCCAGGCACCCGCTTTCAGCTTTTCATACGTGGATATGAACCCTTTACCTTTTATATTGGCTGTAAACAATTTCTTATTGTCATTTATTAAGTTTGATTATAGTGTCTCTACCACAGTTTTACAATTTTCATTTACTCAAATATAACAATCTTTTACTCTATGACATCTACCTTGGTGACATTCTTAGAAAGGTCCTCCCTACCCTAAAAGCTAAAATATAGTCTTTTAATTTTTTCTGGTGTTTTTATGGTTTTAGTGCTATCTTCATTCATTTATATCTTTATATTTTCTTTTTTTGTTTGTTTGTTTTTACACACACATTTATTCGTGAATGATGTAAGATAGAAACCTAACTATATTTTTTAAATTAGATGAGGTTATAGATTTATAGAAAAGAACAAATGCATACAGCTATCATAAATTTCTGAAGTAATATGTCATGAATAGATATAAACAAAGCAATCTGAAATGTCACTTGGGTACATTTTTGAACTCTATTTCATTAATCTGATTTTTTTTTTAAATTCCTGGGTTAGTACAACCTGGTTCATTTTAATACAAGTTTGGTGAAAATTCACACCAGTAAGTTTCGAGACAATAAAATTCATACCATCCTTGGTTGCTGCCTTCTTATCTCTGATTCACTGCCATATTCCTAGAGGCTAGACCAGTGCCTTAACCGATACCTGGTAGGTACTTAATAAATATATGTTGAAACAAGGAAGAAAAGCACAAACTTTGGGCATTTTAAAACTCAATTTCTTGACTACCTGCTTTCTTCTTTATTACAATATGGAAACCTCAGATTTCTAATTGGAAGTCTTTTTTAAATAAAATAGGCTTAAAACACTATTGTTGCCCTCTGGTTAACATAATAAAACACCCTGGAAACATTATCATCATCACCAAACACTAGTGTGTAGGGCACTATGTTAGATGCATCGGTCACAAGAATTTTATATGGCACAGAGTCCCTGTTGTTCATGTTCTGGTTGGGAAAGAAAAAGTATACACACACATATATACATACATGTAAAATAAAATACTTTAAGTGCCAAATAGATGACACAGATGATAAGAACACAGACCACAGAATCAGAGGAGTGGGCTTCTCTGAACCAGTTTTCTTATCTGTAAAGGAAACAAAATAGCAATTCCTACTTTCTAGAATAATTCAAGATTTAGAAAAGAAAGCAGAAACCAAGGATGGTTCTAAAACGTTGCAGGACAACAGAGTTATACGTCAATAATGATAACCATTTGGAGAGATTTTACTATATGCTGTGAATTATTTTAAATCCTTTTGTGTATTAATTCAATTAATCCTTTCAACAACAAGGAATAAGCACTATTATTTTCCCCCCAATTTTAACGATGAGCATTCTTTAGCTTGCATGAAGCTACACTGTAAAGTACGAAGCTGGGGTTGAAATACAAAAATTCTGGCTCCAGAACCTGAGCACTTAACTACCACACTAAACAGTCTTAATACTCCTTAAAAAAGTAGAATTTAGACAAGCAGACAGATTAAGGGAGACATATTCATGTACTTGCCTAAAACAATAAACCGACAAATTTGGCTAAGAAAGCATGGGAGTAGAGTTGGATTACATACTTACCCTGAAAAACAACCACCCATTACGACAACCATCTGTAAACTTTCTGTTGGATACTTCTCCTCTAATACAACACTTCCCTCATCTTTACCATGAAACTCATGAACTTTTGACAGAAAAAAAAAAAAGACAATTATTTTTCAATTATTACCCTGTTGCCACAGCAGGAACTCGGGCCTTGATCCTTGGGAATTTCGTCTTCCTGCCCGTGCCGTTACTGCTTCCAAGGATCACTGTGAAGGAAATAAATAAAAGGCTACCTAATGCAATCTGGTCGCAACTAATCCGAAACACCGTAATTCCTAACTCCGAATCTTTTTTCCCCCTTCCTCGTCGTCCCCTGTCCCGGTCCTAACACCACCGGGAACTTCCTCTGGAAAAGAAGATCAGAAAGCGATTGCCGAGGTAACGGCGTCGCCTCCTATGAGGTCCAAGGTCCGAGGCTCTGAGGCCGCGGGATCCTTCGCTCCGGATTCTAGACCCAGATTCGGCGGTACGAGGCCTTGGGCAAGACACCGGGCCTTGTGCCCCGCTCCCGCCCCTCCCCGGGCCTCAGTTTCCACTACAGATCTCCACAGAAAGGGCGCCGATTCTCCCGTTAGGAGCTCCTACGAGCCGAGGCGCTTGGCCCAGAAACCCTGTGGCCCTGGCTTCCCGGCACCCCGAGATTCTCTCCCTCCCCAGTCGCCACCTCAGGTGGGTTACCGCATCCTCTCCGCGTTCTCCTTCAGGGGACCCTGCTCCCACCAACCACCTCAGGGGCGCGGCCTTCCCGGGGCAGCGTACGTCGCAACGCGGGAAGGGGCATGGAGGTGGGACCAGGCGCCTCAGAGCCAAGGGGCGGGGCGCCCCTCTCCAGGCAGCCAATCAGCACGCGAGAGGCGCCCGGGGGGGCCACGCGCGTCAGGCACGGGGCGGAGTCTGCTGGCTCCCCGAGCCGCGGCAAGTGCAGCTGCTTCAAGATGAGGTGGCAGATGGGAGTGAGCGCAGGTGGCCAAGGCAAAGTCACAGCCGGAGAATAATGATGAATGGAGCAGCGGGACCCTCGCACATGGACCGTCGCGAGCGGGTTCTCAAGTTAGGCGAGAGTTTCGAGAAGCATCCGCGCTGCGCCTTCCACACTGTACGATGTGAGTGAGAACGATCCCCGGGAGGAAAGGGGGAGCTCCGGATATGGGGGTGTGGAGGCACAAACCTCTCAGTTGTGTTCCCACAAACCCCCTTACTCTGCTGGAGAATGGGGTGCCCAGCGCTATCCATTGCCCTGCCTGGAGTCCCGGGGGTTTCGTGGAAGGAGCCGGAGTTGAGCAGGTGTGAGTAAACCCTGGGCAGAGAGATTCAAGTGAGCAGAAAGGGAAACTTTGTGGAGGAGATATACAGGGGTGCCTGTGGAGACAGACGTAACTGGTAGATGATGCAGAGATGGATAGGAAAATAGTAAGGTGACAGATGGAAGGGTGCAAAGGACGGAATTATTACGCAGGGGAAAGGGAATGCCTTGAGGCTGGTAGGGAAATATTCCCTCTTTTCTTCACTTTTTCTGTCTCTGATGAGAGTTCTTATTTAGTGTGTTCCTGAGTAGATATTCTGAACTATTCCAATAATTGTATTTCTTTTGGACCCCTGATTTCGTTCAGACAGTTATCAAATACTGATTATCAAAGTACTGGAGGGTGTGTTATTCATTTTTTTAGAAAGATATTTACTTCCCTTTGATTTCTCCCTTTGATTTCTCCCTTTGATTGTCCTCTGGAACTAGTTTTGATAAATTTGCCCTCTGTTATGTTGGTGAGGTAGAAAAGGAGCTCTTTTACTTTAATGTTGGATCGTATAGATTCCAGGAAGGAAAATATAGCATATTATGATTTGGTATGTAAAACATTTCATTCTTTGCATAGTAACCCTCAGAATTATAGAGCGGAAAGGAAACTAAGATCTTTGAATCATAACCTCTTATTTTTCTGTGGCAAAATTGTAAAGTAGGTATTTTTTCACTTCCTTTCCCCTGCCCTGTTCTTCCTTAGTGTCTCATCATTCTACCTTTCTCAGTCATCCTGTCCTTAGACTGTCCAGGGATCTTCATGGTTTTTATTCTGAACTTTTCCATGCTTCAGTCAAAATACCCAATTAAAACTCAACATTCTCCAAAAGTTAAATTGTAGACGATCTAATTATAGTAACTCGGGGTAAAGGTATAAAGACCAATAAGTTTAACTCTCCAAGGATATATTTGCATTTTATAAAAGGGTTTTGTTAAGCAAAATTAACATCCAGTTGGTAGAATAAACAGGGGAGATATTTGTCAACAGAAGATCTTCAACAGGGTCCTTTGTTTTGTTTTGTTTTTGTCCACGACCCTGAGATCAAGACCTGAGCTGAGATCAAGAGTTGGCCACCTAACTGACTGAGCCACTCAGGTGCCCCCGTCCTTTGTCCTTTGTTTTTTCTGCTTTGCCATACTCTGTCGTCCAACATTAACCACAGTGAGACCTTAGTGCTGGCTATGCAGTTTCTCTCCAGTCCCATTTCCCAAAAGTATGATATAGCTTTTACCTGGTTTCTCCATGCCTTTCTCGCAAATAGTCTCTCCTCTCTCCTCTTCTTTTTCAGATTTGCAGTAGCCTTTTAATAATTTTTCAAACCATAAGGTTTAAGATTATAAAAATTTGCTCATTTGATTGTTATATTTTCATGTAACTTGGGTATTTATTCTCTTTTAAGGGCATGAACCCCAAATGAAGAGAATATAAAATAGTCTTTGAAAAGCTCTTTGCAGGTGCTTCAAAGCTTTTCATTCATAAAAGTTCTCAACATGCTGGAATTGTGCCTTTAGAGCTCAAGAATCAGTTGATCTAGCTACAAGAATGAAAAAAACAACCATAGGAATAGCAATCACAAAAAACCCAGATGCTTGAATACACTCTTAGTGCTGTGGAAGACATAAGAAAGGTTTTTAGCCTCAGTTTTATTCTTGTTGAAGCAGGCAGAATCTTTCTAGATTTATTTGAATAAAACCAATCATTATCCTTGAGGATAGGTTCACTTACCATATGATCCTCACTCTTAAGGACTCAGAGTAAGGGATGGAAACTATAAAACAGGAATTCTTAATCTCAGGAAATAAACTGAGGGTTGCTGGAGTGGTGGGGGGTGAGAGGGATGGGGTGGCTGGGTGATAGACACTGGGGAGGCTATGTGCTCTCGTGAGCACTGTGAATTGTGTAAGACTGTTAAATCACAGACCTGTACCTCTGAAACACATAATACATTATAGGTTAAAAAAAAAAAAGAAGATAGTAGGAAGGGAAAAATGAAGGGGGGAAATCGGAGGGGGAGATGAACCATGAGAGACTAATGGACTCTGAGAAACAAACTGAGGGTTCTAGAGGGGAGGGGGAGGGGGCAGTGGGTTAGCTTGGTGATGGGTATTAAAGAGGGCATGTATTGAATGGAGCACTGGGTGTTATACGCAA